TCTTCACCCATGGGGGGCACGGCGCAGACTGAGCTCCGCAGGGCGGGGAAAGGCTTATAAAGCCTTCCCACGCCCTGCAATTAGGCTCAGAGTGCTCTGATTGGTTGGTTTAAGCCAACCAATCAGAGTGCTCTGACAAGTAAATGAAGAGACTGACAGGTATGTCTCTACATTTACCTGTCACAGCACTCTGGTTGGCTTGAAATCCAACCAGAGTGCTCTGTGTAATTTTACACAGCGTGGGAATATTCCAAAGAAGTTTCCCACGCTGTGTAAAATGACTAGCACTCTGGTTGGATTTCAAGCCAACCTATCTGAGTGCTCTGAGTCAAATTGCAGGGTGTGGGAAGGCTTTATAGATTTTAGAAAAAAGAAGACATCAAATAGTAAGGTTTTATTTTTTTGTTTTTTTACAGGTACTTTTATCCCCCCCTCACTATTTTTAGGATGAGGGGGGTAGGTAGGGGCTTTTTAATTTTTGTTGGTTTGGGGAACCCTAGTCACCTTGGGGTGGACATTTTCATTTAGGGCCCCCACCCACTGCTCAAGGGTGGGAGCCGGGCAGAGGACAATAGGTCTCCCCCCCACTTATTGTTCTTTATGGCCTCCACCCGCCGCTCAGGGGTGGGGGCCAGGGGGAGGAAAATAGGTCCCCCCGATTCTCATTTAGGGCCCCCACCCACTGCTCAGGGTTGGGGGCCAGGCGGAGGACACTAGGTCTCCCCCCCCTTATTGTTCTTTATGGCCTCCACCTGCCGCTCAGGGGTGGAGGACAGGGGGAGGAAAATAGGTCCCCCCTGATTCTCATTTAAGGCCCCCACCCAGTGCTCAGGGGTGGGGGCCGGGGAGGAGGACAATAGGTCCCCCCCTGATTCTCATTTAGGGCCCCACCCAGTGCTGAGGGGTGGGGGCCATAGGGAGGAAAATAGGTCCCCCCGATTCTCATTTAGGGCCCCCACCCACTGCTCAGGGGTGGGGGCCAGGTGGAGGACAATAGGTCTCCCCCCTTATTGTTCTTTATGGCCTCCACCTGCCGCTCAGGGGTGGGGGCCAGGGGGAGGAAAATAGGTCCCCCCCTGATTCTCATTTAGGGCCCCCACCCAGTGCTCAGGGGTGGGGGCTGGGGAGAAGGACAATAGGTCTCCCCCCGATTGTTATTTAGGGCCTCCAACTGCTGCTCAGGGGTGGGGGCAGGGGGAGAAAAATAGGTCCCCCCCCGATTCTCATTTAGGGCTCCCACCCAGTGCTCAGGAATGGGTGCTGGGGAGGAGGACAACAGGTCGCTCCCCCTTATTGTTATTTATGCCCTCCACCCGCCACTCAGGAGTGGGGGCCAGAAGGAGGAAAATAGGTCTTCCCCTTATTGTTATTTAGGGCCCCCACCCAGTGCTCAGGGGTGGGGGCCAGGGGGGAGGACAACAGGTCTCTCCCCCTTATTGTTATTTATGGCCCCCACCCGCCGCTCAGGGGTGGGGGCCATGAGGAGGAAAATAGGTCCCCCCCTATTGTTATTTAGGGCCCCCACCACCGCTCAGGGGTGGGGGCCAGGGGAAGGAAAATAGGTCCCCCCCCCGATTCTCATTTATGGCTCCCACTCAGTGCTCAGGGGTGGGGGCCGGGGAGGAGGACAATAGGTCTCCCCCCTTATGGTTATTTATGACCTCCACCCGCCGCTCAGGGGTGGGGGCCAAAAGGAGGAAAATAGGTCCCCCCGATTCTTATTTAGGGCCCCCACCCAGTGCTCTGGGGTGGGGGCCAGGGAGGATGACAATAGGTCCCCCCCCTATTGTTATTTAGGGCACCCACCCGCTGCTCAGGGGTGGGGGACGGGGGGGAGGACAATAGGTCCCTCCCTCATTGCTATTTAGGGCCCCCACCTGCCACTCAGGGATGGGGGCTGGGGGGAGGACAATAGGTCCCCTCCTATAGTCATTTAGGGCCCCCACCCGCCGCTCAGGGGTGGGGGCCGGGGGGAGGACTATAGGTCCCCCCTCATTGGTTGTATGGCTTACTGTTTAGTAGACATGCCCCTACTAGCGGCCTAGCGAGTAGGGGCATTTGGGAGATTTCAATCTCCCTTATGCTATTACAGGGTCATATTGACCCCCATAGAGTGAGGGAGGATATGGGGGCTTAGGAAGTGGCGGGGAGCACTGCTCCCTGCCGCTTCAATTTTTACATTTTACAAGGAGGGAGATGTGTGCCGGTAGCTCCTCCTTGTAATAAACTGAACGAACAAACGAACATCGATATTCAGTGTTTGTTTGTTCGTCTGACATTTCTATTCATTTATTCGTCTTTCTGACGAATGAATAGATGATATTCCCGTTTGCATGCCCAAGTGTTTAACTGGGCATGCGCGGGAATTTCACAGCGCTATGTAGTGTGGGCAGATGACGTGTCTCACAGGGACTTCATCTACCCACACAAAGATGGCGGCGCACAAAATAAAGTTTAAAAACTAGGTAATATGGGGTGCTTAGGGGGTCAGTTAGATGTAGTGGAGTCGGGAGGGGGGTTAAAAAACAAAACGGGTTTCGGCCATGACAGTGCCGCTTTAAGTGTGGACATTCCACATGATACGTTTGAGGAGATGAGGGGTTGTTTGTCACTTATGTGCAATTTCCATTGTTTTTGTATTTTTATGGATTTATAATAAAAATTTAATTTAGATTTGAGGAATCATGCTATGTTATTACCTATGCTGTGAACAGAGTCTTTTTTGTGAAATGTTGTGGTTGGAGTAAGCTTTTAAGGCAAACATAGCTAATTAAAGAAATTATTCAACTGCGCTACAGCTTGGATATTTTAGTCTTAAATATAAAATTCTGTTTTCCATTTGCTACAAACGAGAATTAAGTGAAGACTCTGTGTGCTGTTGAACTAACTAAAGTAATATTCAATATATGTATATGAACATAACACTTTCCACTTCCCTTAAACGTTCTCCAAATTCTCCCTCACCTTCTGCCCCTTTTCTCATGTTCAGGGGCGTACCTGGAGCTTTTGTCTCCTGGGGCAGATCCTTTATTTGGCACCCCGCCCCCACCTTTAAAATGTAAAAAAACAAAAAAAAGTTGAAATGTACTTAGCACTGAGCAGTGTTTGTATCATGTGAGGTAAATTAGAGATTAGTGACACAAATAATATACTTGATTGCCTACTTACAACCAGATGAGGATGATGATGGGCTCTAGCTGCAGTCTGGCTCCACTGGTCTAGTGTAGAACAGGATCTCTGGAGGCTGTTTGTAACTGTGGTCACAAAATCAATGTTCTGGGAGAACGGGAAGCAGCTCCATTTTTTGGGGTGCCCTTTACACAGCTCAAGGTCTGGGCCCCAGGGTCCACCTTCATGTTCCACCAATGAGTTTGTTCACAGGGGGTGGAGTGTGTAGGGGATGTCCTGATATGTGTGTAAGGAATGCATTGTGTGAATCTGTGTTTGTATGTGTAAGGGCTGCAAGATGTGTTTCTGTGTATGTACGGGATGCAGTGTGTGAGTCTGTAAGGGATGCATTGAGTGTTTGTAATGAATGCATTGTGTGTTTCTGTGTGTGTAAGGGATGCATTATGTGTAAGGGTTGCATTGCTTGTGTATGTGTTTCTGTGTGTGTAATGCATTGTGTGTTTTTCTGTGTGCAAGGGTTGCATTGTGTGTGATGTGTGTGTGATGGATGTCAATCTCCCCCCTCCTTGTCACACTCTCTTTCTCTTCCCCTCCTTGTCTCTCTCTTTCTCCCCCCCTCCTTGTCACACTCTCTCTTCCTTGTCTCCCCCTCCTTGTCACACTCTTTCTCCCCCCTCCTTGTCACACTCTTCTTGTCCTCTCTTCCTTGTCACACTCTCTTTCTCCCCCCCTCCTTGTCACACTCTTTCTCCCCCCTCCTTGTCTCTCTTTCTCCCCCTCCTTGTCTCTCTCTTTCTCCCCCCTCCTTGTCCTCTCTTTCTCCCCCCTCCTTGTCACTCTCTTCCCACTTCCCAATTTCTCCCTTCCCCTCCCCCCCTCCCACTGTTGTAACGTGGCCGAGCCCTGTATCATGGTATAGGGAGCTTTTGTTTCCTGTATCCGGCCGGACGAACAGGAAGTGCACACTCAGTGTGTACTTCCTGTTAGTCTGGCCGGGTACAGGAGACAGATGCTCCCTGTACCCGCGGACCATGATACAGGGCTCGGCCACGCTACAGTGAGGGGGCGACAGGCCCCTCTCCTCAGGCTGCGCCCGGGAGCGCTCAGACGGCTGCAGCATGAGGGGGGCCGGCGCTCCTGGCGGCGCTCCTTCCCAAGGGGTGCCGTAGGCGGCTGCCTAGTCCGCCTAACAGGTAGCACCGGCCCTGAGCGTGTTTTTGTATTGAGTATGTGTGAGTGAATGTACGGCTGTGTTTGCACGTATTGGCATTTGAATGCAATGTGTGGTTTTTGAATATGGTGGTGGGTTTTTATGTAGTGTTGACATTTGGATGCAGGGTTGTATTTGTGTATAGTGTAGATGAACTGCTGAGATGTATGCACATATACACATATACTCAAATATACACACACTGGCACACATAGAGATACATAGGCAAATAGGTACACACATGCAGTTACATAGAAACACATTAATACACAGATACAGACAAATACTGACACACATACAGATACAAACACACATACAGACACACAGAGAGAGACACACAGGCTCAGAGACAGATAAACAAAAAGATACAGACACACAAACAGATACACATATATAAGTGTGTGTTTGCGTAGTGAATGAAGTGTGTTTGCGTACTGTATACAGTGTGTGAGTTTGTATAGTGGATGTAGTCTGTGTAGTGTATGCAGTGTGTGTATAGTGCATGCAGTTTTTGTGTATAGTGTATGGAGTGTGTGTATAGTGTATGTATAGTGTATGCAGTGTGTATAGTGTATAGCAAGAGACAGAGCAGGAGGCTTACAGAGCAGCAGAGATTTTCTCATTTTGTATTACATATATTCTGATATCTGTTAAACTTAAGATGGATAGAGAGCAGGAAAAAAACAGAGAGCCTACTGAGTGCCAGGAAATGGAGCACCAGGAGGTTAAGTCCTACATGCTGGGCACCAATAGTTTTAGCCAAACTCCAATTGCGAGATTTAGACCAAAAGCTGTAACTGGAGAGCCATGTCCTCACGAGGTGGGGGAACGTTACCACCTTTCATATAAGATGGGAATTCGAGGATGTCGCCTGATCCACGACATTCTGTCCGCTCATGGGTTCAAGGAGGCTGAAGCCACCAGCAAAAATTACAATGTGCTCTGGACAGGGCCCCTCCAGAAACTAAGTCTCGTAACAAACCTTTCCAGCTTCCAACGAATAAATCACTTCCCAAAATCAAATGCCCTGGGCCACAAAGATCAACTGTATCAAAATCTTCAAAAGCTGCAGAAAAAACACAGGGACCACAGTTTTGACTTCCTGCCTGAGAGCTATGTGCTTCCTGGCCAGTACAAGGAATTCTGCAAAGCTTTATTAAAAGATCGAGGTACTTGGATTACAAAACCAGTGTCTTCATGTGAAGGTCATGGAATAAACCTTATTAAATCTCCACCTAGAATGATTGGTAAAGATAAGATCCTGGTCTCCAAATATATCAGTAACCCCCTCCTTATAAACGGGCTTAAATTTGATCTCCGCCTCTACGTGCTGGTCACATGTTATGATCCTTTAATTATTTATTTATATAAGGAAGGAATCACTAGATTTGCCACTGAAAAGTACGAACTGACAGAAAACACTATGAGCAACAGGTATATGCATTTAACTAACTACAGCGTAAACAAGGAGAGCACATCTTTTGTGAGAAGTCAGAATCCAGACGTTGAAGACTGTGGCAGCCAATGGAGCTTCAGTGCTCTGTTGCATTACTTAAAGAGGAACGGTAAGGACACAGCAACCCTCATCTCCAAAATAGAGGATCTTGTCATCAAGGCAATTATATCCGTAGAAGAAACAATCGCCATGTCATGTAGATATACACTTCCTCACAAAAGAAACTGTTTCGAACTCTATGGCTTTGATGTATTGATCGATGAGAACCTGAGTCCCTGGCTCCTGGAAGTTAACACATCTCCATCTGTAACTTGTGATGATTTCCTCAATTTGAAAATCAAGAGCAATCTAATTGCAGATATGCTTTCTTTAGTCGGTGTGGTGTGTAAGAATCCTATGGAGAAAAAAGAAAAACTTAACATAGCTAACGCATACGATGAGGAGATCTTTCATTGGGTTAAGGACAGGGAGAAAGAGAGGAGAGGGGGTTTTGTAAGGCTATTCCCTAGGCAAGACACATGGCAGCGCTATGGCCCTTTACTGACATTCAAAGTCATGAATAAAGCCCTGTCTAAACATCTTTATGCAAAGAAACCTAAAATGTATGGAATGAGCTGCAGTATACCCCAGCAGAATACAGAGGTGTATAAGGAAAAGCTGCCTCCTTTAACCCAAACCATGATAAAGTACCAGGAGAAGACAAATAAGTTATTAGAAATTTCAAAGAAGAATCAGAAAAGTGCTGTAAAAGCTGTCCCAGAGTTGGTGAACCGAAAACCAAAAATTGCAAAACCAACTCGTTGCAGTGGAAGGGACAAAATCATGGAGCTGTGGAGCAGGAGATCTGGAAAAATTTTGGAAACATCTCTACGCAGTGGAAAGCTGTCCCAGAGGCATGGAGCAAGAAATCAGGAAAAATTGTGGACACAGCTCGCTGTGGTGGAAAGGAAGCTCTCTTGGAGGTAAGGAGCAAAAGACCTGGGAAAATTGTGGAAACATCTTGCTGCAGTGGAAGAGAAGTTGTCCCAGAGGTGAGGGGCAGGAGACCAATAAATATTGCCGTAACATCTTTCAGCAGTGGAAAAGAAGCTATTCCAAAGTTAGGGAGCAGAAGTACTGTAAAAATTGTGTAAACTTCTTGCCACAGTGGAAGGGAAGCTGTCCCAGGGATGAGTCATAGGAGACCAGGAAATACTGCAGAAAAATATCACTGCAGTGGTAGGGAAGCTTTGCCTGAGGTGGAGAAAAGGAGGCCTGGAAAAAAATTCCAAACATGTCACCAAAGTGGAAGGGAAACTGGCCAGGAGTTGAAAAGCAGAAGACCAGCTGGTCCAAAGACTGATATTTTGGAGGCACGCCTTGGCTCAGTTGGTGGTGTAAAAGAACCAACAATGATTGAGAGCGACAAGACAGAATGTTTGTGGCACCAAAATAATGCACTTAAAAAACGTTCCCAACAAATTAAGGACATATGTGATGGCTTTTCATCTTATTACAAACAGGCATTCTTGGAATAATATGTTTATAGTGGACTTGGGATGCAGGTAGGTCACTATCTACTTAAAAACAGGAGATACACTATCCCAAAGTAATGTTTGTAAAAACAAAAATTTCCTCTAATGCACAGCCTTGTACTAGAATTTTAGAAAGGTTTCACTGCTTACCTGAGATCCGCTGTGTGCTACATCCACCAGAGAATAAGAAGCTCCTAAGCAATCGCTTATGTTAGCTCTACTGAGCTAAGCCCTTTAGTGTATGTCTAGCTCTGACTGAAAGCATCAGCTGATGTCTCTCAGCCAATGAGCTGATTGACAAGTTAAAGGGACACTGTAGGCACCCAGACGACTTCAGCTCATTCAAGTGGTCTGCGTGCCAACTCCCACCACCCTTAACCCTAGAGTGGTAATTATTGCAGTTTTTATAAACTGCAATAATCACCTGCTAGAGTTACCTCCTCCTTTAGTGGCTGTCTGGTAGACAGCCACTAGAGGGACGTCTGGATTCTTTGATGACTTCTGGTCATCTAAACGACACTGGACATCCTCACGCGATGCATGAGGACCTTCAGCGTCGCCAGAATCCCATAGGAAAGCATTGCATAGCCGTGCATGCGCATTAGGTCTCCCCTGCCAGTGGACATCAGCAGGGGAGGAGCATTGGAGGAGCTGAGCCAGTGCCAAGGGACATCAGCTCTGGACCCAGATAAGTAACTGAAGGGGTTATTAATCCTCTCAGCGTCAAGTTTGTTTTCCTGGCACTATAGTTTCCCCTTATGTTTAGACAGAGAGCTTCTGGCTCTCTGTCACAAGTAGTGCGGGCAGGGAGATGCACCCGATAGACCACTGGGAAGAAGTCAAACAGTTCTAAAACACTTTGACTCCTTAGAAAGGTGTGGAGAGAGAGGCTTTATTTACTACACGTTAAACTAACTGTGTAAATTAAAAATTATAAAATGTAATCAGAAACTGCTGATTTGAAAAAAAAAGTCTACAACTCTGCTATTGGGAATTTGCAATCAAAAGCAAATCTGGTTTTAATGAATAAATCCGTAACTAGTTTTATTTGTAGAATAGCTCATTTGTTTGGCTTTTTGATGCTGCCAGAAAATATTTGTGTAAATTCAGACATACCTTTTCCAAGCCAGTTTTGTGAATTGGGAGTCACTGATTGGCTGTGAGCATCAGGCGGATGCTGCTTGGGGGGGAAGCTGAGACTGGCGCTGGAGGCAACTTCGGGGTTAAACCGTTCGAAGACGGTTTAACAACTTGAGGTAAAAGTGATCCTGGGAGCCTCCTAACACCATCAGGAACCATAACAGCTTAACGTAGATGAAGTTGTTATGGTGTCCAAACTGTCCCTTTAAAAGACTGGACAGAGGAAACTGATTATTTCAGTCAACACCAAGCTCTGTCTTGCTACAAAATTTCAAGTTTGATGCGTTGTGGAAAGACACAATTAAAAAGTGTAACAAAGGAGAGGCAGACAGGGGGCTTAAAGGACCACTCTAGGCACCCAGACCACTTCAGCTTAATGAAGTGGTCTGGGTGCCAGGTCCTTCTAGGGTTAACCCATTTTTTCATAATTATAGCAGTTTCAGAGAAACTGCTATAATTATGAATGGGTTAAGCCTTCCCCCTAATCCTCTAGTAGCTGTCTCATTGACAGCCACTAGAGGCGCTTGCGTGCTTCTCACTGTGAAAATCACAGTGAGAGCACGCCAGCGTCCATAGGAAAGCACTGTAAATGCTTTCCTATGAGACCGGCTGAATGCGCGCGCAGCTCTTGCCGCGCGTGCGCATTCAGCCGGCGGGGCGTAACGGAGGCGGAGAGGAGGAGGAGAGCTCTCCGCCCAGCGCTGGAAAAAGGTAAATTTTTACCCCTTTCCCCCTTCCAGAGCCGGGCGGGAGGGGGTCCCTGAGGGTGGGGGCACCCTCAGGGCACTATAGTGCCAGGAAAACGAGTATGTTTTCCTGGCACTATAGTGGTCCTTTAAGAGAAGAGAGACATTAGATGAAAGATAAATAAGTGGGGTATATGGAAGTGGAATAAGTGGAATGGGAGATGATTATATGGAATAAGTGGGGAAATAGGATGGAGTTTAGCACAGATGCACGAGAGTAAGGTAATACAAGTGAGATAAAAATGGGTGAGAGACAACTAGAATAGAAATGTGAATACATCATGGGGAAATGAGGAGAACAGACACAAGTGGAGGAGGAAGACAAAAATGTGATTTGTTTTTAGATGAAAACACAACATTTTAGTTATACAGTTGCAAGAAAAAGTATGTGAACCCTTTGGAATGATATGGATGTCTGCACAAATTGGTCATAAAATGTGATCTGATCATCATCTAAGTCACACCAATAGACAATCACAGTCTGCTTAAACTAATAACACACAAAGAATGAAATGTTGCCATGTTTATATTGAACACACCATGTAAACATTCACAGTGCAGGAGGAAAAGTATGTGAACCCCTAGACTAATGACATCTCCAAGAGCTAAATGGAGTGAAATGTCAGCCAACTGGAGTCCAATCAATGAGATGAGATTGGAGGTGTTGGTTACAGCTGCCCTGCCCTATAAAAAACACACACCAGTTCTGGGTTTGCTTTTCACAAGAAACATTGCCTGATGTGAATGATGCCTCGCACAGAAGAGCTCTCAGAAGACCTACGATTAAAAATTGTTGACTTGCATAAAGCTGGAAAGGGTTATAAAAGTATCTCCAAAAGCCTTGCTGTTCATCAGTCTACGGCAAGACAAATTGTCTATAAATGGAGAAAGTTCAGCACTGCTGCTACTCTCCCTAGGAGTGGCCGTCCTGTAAAGATGACTGCAAGAGCACAGCGCAGACTACTCAATGAGGTGAAGAAGAATCCTAGAGTGTCAGCTAAAGACTTACAAACGTCACTGGCAAATGCTAGCATCCCTGTTAGTGAATCTACAATATGTAAAAAACATTAAACAAGAATGGATTTCATGGGAGGATACCACAGAGGAAGCCACTGCTGTCCAAACAAAACATTGCTGCACGTTTACAGTTTGCACAACTGCACCTTGATTTTCCACAGCAGTACTGGCAAAATATTCTGTGGACAGATGAAACCAAAGTTGAGTCGTTTGAAAGAAACACACAACACTATGTGTGGCGAAAAAAAGGCACAGCACACCAACATCAAAACCTCATCCCAACTGTGAAGTATGCTGGTGGGGGCATCGTGGTTTGGGGCTGCTTTGCTGTGTCAGGGCCTGGACGGATTGCTATCATCAAGGAAAAAGGAATTCCCAAGTTTATCAAGACATTTTGCAGGAGAACTTAAGGCCATCTGTCTACCAGCTAAAGCTCAACATAAGATGGGTGTTGCAACAGGACAATGACCCAAAGCATAGAAGTAAATCAACAACAGAATGGCTTAAGCAGAAGAAAATACACCTTCTGAAGTGGCCCAGTCAGATTCCTGACCTCAACCCAATTGAGATGCTGTGGCATAACCTCAAGAAAGCGATTCACACCAGACATCCCAAGAATATTGCTGAACTGAAACAGTTCTGTAAAGAGGAATGTCAATAATTACTCCTGACCGTTGTGCACGTCTGATCTGCAACTAAAGGAAACGTTTGGTTGAAGTTATTGCTGCCAAAGGAGGTTCAACCACTTATTAAATCCAAGGGTTCACATACTTTTTCCACCTGCACTGTGAATGTTTACATGGTGTGTTCAATAAAAACATGGCAACATTTCATTCTTTGTGTGTTATTAGTTTAAGCAGACTGTGATTGTCTATTGGTGTGACTTAGATGATGATCAGATCAAATTTTATGACCAATTTGTGCAGAAATCCATATCATTCCAAAGGGTTCACATACTTTTTCTTGCAACTGTAAATGGCTAGATCAACATTATCTCTATAGTTATGAAATAAGGCATACTTCTTGCATAGAACCACAATGAATATTGTATGTTGGTGCCCTTTCAGGGTTACTTTGAAATACTTTGGGATGAAAATAAAAATAATTCAAGCTATATTTTTTCTTTAATTGTAATAGTGACCTTATTGTGATATTCAAACACCCTGTAAGAGGAGTAGACTAAAAGCATATTGCAGGAGCCTTCATTCAGGAGAAATATGTAGGTATGACTATCAGGTTACTTAAAGGAACACCCATTCAATGTTTATGCATTTAGTTTTGGCTTAAAACAGGGGTAAGCAACCTTCAGCACTCAAGCCATAATGCTGGCCAATCATCAGTGGAGATGTAGTCCACAACATCTTGAGTGCTAAAGATTGCTTACCACTGGTCTTAATAATTACCAATTAATATAAATAATTGCTCACCCTTCTCAAGCGCCCTCCCTCGAAGCTGTCGCGACCTCCTCCTTCAATGATGTCAGCCTGAAGGTGTGCCTCCAGGATGACTGGCCAATCCAATACACCTTCAGCGCATGTGTGGCGCTTGCCGCAATGCGCCTAAGATTCTGCCATAGAGAATCATTGAACGCAGTGACAGTGACGTCACTGTACATGAGCTTGTGACGTTACGGAATGAAGATTCTCGGCTCTCATATTCAGAGGGCTTGGAGGCGTGCCTTGAGGCAGCGCTACTCAGTCATCTAATTAGTTACCTGTAGGGCCTTGGAAGGTAGGAGTGGGGACAAGACTGCAGGCACTATGACAACTTCATGAAGTTGTCAAAGTGCATGCAGTGTCCCTTTCAGCACTCAAGTTGTTGTGAACGACATCCCCCATAGTGCTCTTACTATGCCATAATACAGGCAAAGCATCAAAGGAGATGTAGTCTACATCTGGAGATCCAAAGGTTGTCTACCCCTAATCTGTATTGTAATACCTGCAGTGCAGCGTAAACGAGTTCCTAGCATTTTAGTTAAAAATGGAAAATCAACATTCTCTCTATAGTCATGAAATGGGGAAAACTTCTCACCTTATTAATGAATATTGTATTCTGTGCCATTAAAACCATTTCAGCATTAATTTCACATACTTTGGGATG